CCAAATTTATTGAGAGTTTTTAGCATGAAGGGCCACTGAATTTTGTCAAAGGCCTTTTCTGCATCTATTGAGATAATCATGTGGCTTTTGTCTTTGGTTCTGTTCATATACTGGATTATATTTACTGATTTGTGTATGTTGAACCAGCCTTGTATCCCAGGGATGAAGCCCACTTGATCATGGTGGATAAGCTTTTTGATGTGCTGCTGGATTCGGTTTGCCAGTATGTTATTGAGGACTTTTGCATCGATGTTCATCAGGGATATTGGTCTAAAATTATCTTTTTTTGTTATGTCTCTGCCAGGGTTTGGTATCAGGATGATGCTGGCCTCATAAAATGAGTTAGGGAAGATTCCCTCTTTTTCTGTTGATTGGAATAGTTTCAGAAGGAATATAACCAGCTCCTCTTTGTACCTCTGGTAGAATTTGACTGTGAATCCATATGGTCCTGGCCTTTTTTGGTTGATAGCCTATTAATTATTGCCTCAATTTCCTAATCTGTTATTGGTCTATTCAGGGATTCAACTTCTTCCTGGTTTAGTCTTGGGAGGGTATATGTGTCCAGGAATTTATCCATTTCTTCTAGATTTTCTACTTATTTGTGTAGAGGTGTTTATAGTATTCTATGATGGTAGTTTGTATTTCTGTGGGATCGGTGGTGATATCTCCTTCATCATTTTTTATTGCATATTTTTTATTCTTCTCTCTTTTCCTCTTTATTAGTCTTGCTAGTGGTCTGTCAATTTTGTTGATCTTTTCAAAAAACCAGTTCCTGGACTAATTGATTTTTTTTGAAAGATTTTTTTGTGTCTCTATCTCCTTCAGTTCTACTCTGATCTTAGTTATTTCTTGCCTTCTGCTAGCTTTTGAATGTGTTTGCTCTTGCTTCTCTAGTTCTTTTAATTGTGATGTTAGGGTGTCAATTTTAGATCTTTTCCTGCTTGCTCTTGTGGGCATTTAGTGCTATAAATTTCCCTCTACATACTGCTTTACATGTGTCCCAGAGATTCTGGTATGTTGTATCTTTGTTCTCATTGGTTTCAAAGAACAACTTTATTTCTGCTTTCATTTTGTTATGTACCCAGTAGTCATTCAGGAGCAGGTTGTTCAATTTCCATGTAGTTGAGCAGTTTTGAGTGAATTTCTTAATCCAGAGTTCTAATTTGATTGCCCTCTGGTCTGAGAGACAGTTTGTTATAATTTCTGTTCTTTTATATTTGCTGACGAGTGCTTTCCTTCCAACCATGTGGTCAGTTTTGGAATAAGTGTGATGTAGTGCTGAGAAGGATGTATATTCTGTTGATTTGGGGTGGATAGTTCTGTAGATGTCTATTAGTTTGCTAGGTTCAGAGCTGAATTCGATTCCTGAATATCCTTGTTAACTTTCTGTCTCATTGATCTGTCTAATGTTGACAGTGGGGTGTTAATGTCTCCCAGTACTATTGTGTGGGAGTCTAAGTCTCTTTCTAGGTCTCTAAGGACTTGTTTTATGAATCTGGGTTCTCCTGTATTGGCTGCATATATATTTAGGATAGTTAGCTCTTCCTTTACCCAATGAATTGATCCCTTTACCATTATGTAATGGCCTTCTTTGTCTCTTTTGATCTTTGATGGTTTAAAGTCTGTTTTATCAGAGACTAGGATAGCAACCCTTGCTTTTTTTTTTTGTTTTTCATTTGCTTGGTAGGTCTTCCTTCCTCCCTTTATTTTGAGCTTGTGTGTGTCTTGGCATGTGAGATGGGTCTCCTGAATACAGCACACTGATGGGTCTTGATTGTTTGAAAAAAATAAAAACGATGTTTTCAGTTTGAGACCTGTAAGATTTTAGGCATCCAAGGGGCTTGGAAGAAATATCTGGATAAATACATTTGGAGTATGAGTAGATTACCTACATGAGGAAAATTACATAGTGATGAGAAAATAAATATTTGTAAGATAGACTAAATGGTTAGAATTAACACAGATCTATGCAGACTGCTGAAATTTTGAAAATGAAATCAAAGGGAGAGAGAAAAACATGGGTTTAAATCTCTCAGTTATATATTTTCAAATTTATTTCAAGAATATAATTTTATTTATATAGGTAAATATTTCTGAAATATTATTGCAATATGCATCTTTGAATTGAATGAAAACATTTAATTTTAAAACAAGATTCTACAAAACGACCTTTATAAAAACCTTGCAATTTTTTTTGTTCTTTTTTTTAAAATTTTTTAAATTTTTATTTATTATTATTATTATACTTTAAGTTCTAGGGTACATGTGCATAACGTGCAGGTTTGTTACATGTGTATACTTGTGCCATGTTGGTGTGCTGCACCCATCAACTCGTCAGCACCCATCAACTCATCATATACATTAGGTATAACTCCCAATGCAATCCCTCCCCCCTCTCCCCTCCCCATGATAGGCCCCGGTGTGGGATGTTCCCCTTCCCAAGTCCAAGTGATCTCATTGTTCAGTTCCCACCTATGAGTGAGGACATGCGCTGTTTGGTTTTCTGTTCTTGTGATAGTTTGCTAAGAATGATGGTTTCCAGCTGCATCCATGTCCCTACAAAGGACACAAACTCATCCTTTTTTTATGGCTGCATAGTATTCCATGGTGTACATGTGCCACATTTTCTTAATCCAGTCTGTCACTGATGGACATTTGGGTTGATTCCAAGTCTTTGCTGTTGTGAATAGTGCTGCAATAAACATACATGTGCATGTGTCTTTATAGCAGCATGATTTATAATCCTTTGGGTATACACCCAGTAATGGGATGGCTGGGTCATATGGTACATCTAGTTCTAGATCCTTGAGGAATCGCCATACTGTTTTCCATAATGGTTGAACTGGTTTACAATCCCAGCAACAGTGTAAAAGTGTTCCTATTTCTCCACATCCTCTCCAGCACCTGTTGTTTCCTGACTTTTTAATGATCGCCATTCTAACTGGTGTCAGATGGTATCTCATTGTGGTTTTGATTTGCATTTCTCTGATGGCCAGTGATGATGAGCATTTTTTCATGTGTCTGTTGGCTGTGTGCATGTCTTCTTTTGAGAAATGTCTATTCATATCCTTTGCCCACTTTTTGATGGAGTTGTTTGTTTTTTTCTTGTAAATTTGTTTGAGTTCTTTGTAGGTTCTGGATATTAGCCCTTTGTCAGATGAGTAGATTGCAAAAATGTTCTCCCATTCTGTAGGTTGCCTGTTCACTCTGATGGTAGTTTCTTTTGCTGTGCAGAACATAACATTTTTATTGTTTTCCTGTACCATCTCAAGTTGTGCTCCCCTAATCAGAGGTGAATGTTTGACATCCAAACACTTAATCACATGTACATGTTCATTATTTAAAGTAATCTAAAATAAATACATTTATGAAGTAAATAAACATGGAACACTTGAAGGATTCATTTTTGTTTTGTTTTTAAGTTAAAAGTCTTATCATTTTTTTTTTTACACAAGACTGGATCTTTATTTGTTGCTATATCTACATTACTTCTTCTCTCAGTTTTTGTAAAGCGTCTATTGCTGTGCAATTTGACAATAGCTTACAAATAGCTAAATCAATCAATTCTTTAAATTTTTAAAATGATGTTCTGTCTATCATTGAATGTCTATCATTGAATTATCAGTGTCTATATGTCTATCATTGAATTATGAATGACTAATATGGCAATGATACTGAGTCTTTTAATAGCAACTACAACCACACATAAACCAATATCTTCTTTCTACCCAGCATTCCATGTAAAGCTACACAGGGTTCCCATCTACCCTGATGATGCAACAGACATCTTTCAATCCAACCAGGTGATTATACTCATCTTAAGAATCCATTTCTGGAGATCCCAAAAAGATGCCAGCAATGACAAGATGTATAAATTGAAGCATTGTTATCTATCTATCTATCTATCTATCTAATCCATCTTTTGACTTGGGGGAAAATTTTAAAACTGTGCGCAGTCATCCTAGCTACTTAGGAGGCTGAGTAGGCAAAAGAATCACTTGAGCCCAATCTTTCAAGGCTGTAGTGTATCATAATCACAATTATGAATAGCCAATGCTCTCCAGCCTGGGCAACATAGCCCCTGTTAAATAAATAAAGAAATAAATAAATTACAAAAAACAAAACAAAACAAAACACTTTTTTGAACTAAAATAAGTAGGTAGCAACTAGTTTTCATTGTTTATCACTGTCACTAAAATATCCATTTCAATCACTGCACATTGGCTTATAGTTTTGATGGTGATTTCATAATCTCCTTAATGCATTGAAAAGTAGTGTATGCTTATGTCAAGTGAAATGTTTTTTCTTTACCTGGCTTCATATTCTAAAAAATTGTAGAGGAGCAAATCTAAGCTTTCTCAGACAGCATTGCTGCCAAATAAAGGGGAACAATTAAATGACTGTTTCAATACATAAATTAGATGATCCTAGCTAGCTGAGTTTTTAATTATTTTGATAGCTTAGTTTTATTTTTTTAAAAAGAGTGATATGATCTGGGTCTAAGGTCTTCAGGGTCATGAAACTGCACTTCTGGGTACAAAAAGAGGAAGAATGTTAAATACTACTGTGAAGTGTTAACATGATGCACATGTGAAATTTTCTTATCTATTTTTCCCCAGAATAATCAGCTCATGTATTTTACAAGATAATGAAAACATGCATAAATACAGATGCAGTGCGAGCAAAGATTTTTGAGAAAATATTTTCTCTTAGCTTTTAGGGGGCAAAGTGCTTTTTATTTTTAGTATTTCCAGATATGTTGAAAGACAGCTCATTTTAAACTTCATTAGTAGTTCCAAGGAGTACAGGGTTTCTTTGTGGGAAAATGATTTGCCAAATTATGTTAGACTTAATAATTCTGTGAAGATTCAGTGACATGTTTTCATAACTTCTGCAGAATGACCTGAAAAAGTTCTTAAGTAATTGTTGTTTACAAAATTATTAGAGACACAGAAAGAAGGTGCCTACTAGAGTTGTTAAACTTTGATTATTTCTACTAGGAGAACATCTAATAATACTGTGACAGGAGGTGGTACAGATGATCTAAAATAACACAAAAGGTGGGTTTTTGGAGGGAGCATTGCAAACAGGAAGACATTTAGATATTTTTGGCTGTAATTCTAGAAAGTTAAGTGTTAAAATATCTAAATCTAACATAAAATATGTTAAAATAGCATTGATACTGAATTTATCGTTTTTATTTCCAATGTTGTAATATTTTGGAATATTGTTAATTTGAAGTTCTATCTTATGCAGCTTTTTTTCTTAACTATAAAGAAACCAATTATAATACATCATTTTTGTTTCATGTGATTGAAGTTGTGCTGGATGTCAAACCCAGTGTTCTCTATGTTGATGTCATTTGCCTTTTCTTGCACCTGTTACCAACACATGAAGTTTAGCCTTAACACTATTATAGCTATCATAGTAACTATGTGTACTTTTTCCAAACTTTTACTTTGTTTTTTAAATTCTGAGATGCTTTGTTCTATATATGAGAAGGAATTTTATAATTTTATTAGTTCTTTAAAAATTATATTATAAAATTCAAAAATCAAAATTAGCTTCAAAAATACATCAGTCATTGGATCCTTTTGCATATACAATGTTTGTCTAATAATTGTAATCTTAAAGATTTATTCCACATTAATGAAAGATAAGACTTAGCTGGTTTAAAGTTTTTTTTTGTTTGTTTGTTTGAAAGTTGTATAGTACTTGTGTGCCTAAGATAATGCATGGCACCCAGTAGTCACTTGGTACATGTTTTTTAATTATTTGAGATAGGAAGACTCATTTCTACATTGATTGGTTTTGGACTTCAGGTGCATTACTGACTCAAAAAATTTCTAATAATTTAAGTAACTTTTCAATTTCTCAAACTTTCATTCAGTTTAGCAACTTCTTTTCTAAATGTAGCTATATAGGTATGCCCAAGCTAAAACCATATTCCTAAGACTGTAACTTTTTACATGGTAGAACATTGTGTCACACGTTGGAACTTGTGTCACATGGTAGAACATTGTGTCATATCAGAATGTCGAGTTGCACCTTCTACAGAATGTTGAGTTGCACTTTTTCCCAAACAAAATAGTCCTGTTCCCATATCACCAAGGTAGTGCCTGTCTACTCTGAATTTTAACTCTAATCACACTAAAATAATGGTTATGGTAATCACTCGTAAGGCAAGTAGAATTTGATAAACTTCTTTATTACAATAGTTTTAGGCTCCATATAATTTCTCCTGTCTCCACTTTTTTATCTACTTAGCCAAATGCAAATTTCTCATTTTATCCTTAAGAGTTGTTTCAGATAATTTCTCAAATTCTTCTAATTCTTCTTTTATTAATTTTCCCCCCACAAGGTCTTTAAATATATGTGTGGCTCTATGCTTAATCCATCCGCGCTTTGGTCTATGAAGAGTTTCCTATTTCCTTTTTCTGTGACACAGTGCACATATTTAATACTCACAAACTCGCAAGTGTAATTGCCTTCAGATGTTAAACTATTTATATTTTGATCTTGAATTGCAGTGGTTTAAATGTGCAAACTTATTTGATTGTGCTACATGAGAGTGCATAATTACTGCCATAAAATTTGAGTGCTCCTTAAAATAGAGAATGATAATATATTTTAATTTAAAAATGTGGTTACTTGAAAATATATTAATTATGGAAAAGTATATGTGTGATGTGTATGTATTTATCAAATTGGTCTCGAAGAGACAGTACAGCAATATTTTTTAACTTATAATATCAAGTATAATGTAACAGTAGCCTGTCATTAAGTTATTTTTGAAATAGTGAACATTGTATTTGTTGGGCTTTACTATTGTGATTTATTTCACTATGTTTTTTTATTTACAATCTTTTTTCCAGCACTTCCTCTTGTTAACATGGGCGTTGTGTTGAAGAATATAAAGTTACAAAATCGGCCGGGCGCGGTGGCTCAAGCCTGTAATCCCAGCACTTTGGGAGGCCGAGACGGGCGGATCACGAGGTCAGGAGATCGAGACCATCCTGGCTAACACGGTGAAACCCCGTCTCTACTAAAAAATACAAAAAACTAGCCGGGCGAGGTGGCGGGCGCCTGTAGTCCCAGCTACTCGGGAGGCTGAGGCAGGAGAATGGTCTAAACCCGGGAGGCGGAGCTTGCAGTGAGCTGAGATCCGGCCACTGCACCCCAGCCTGGGCGACAGAGCAAGACTCTGTCTCAAAAAAAAAATAAATAAATAAATAAATAAATAAATAAATAAAGTTACAAAATCAAGGAAGTAGAAAATATTTTTACAAGTATTATGTAGCCATCTTCGTGGGGCTGTGGTGGGGTTGGCTGCAAATGATGCTCTTATGTTTTCTCTCAGTTCAGAACATAGGAATCAGGTGGATAGACATCAACATACCAGCTTTATTGCTGACTCATGACAACTAATGGGAAGACATGACGCAGATGTGCAGCCACAGCAAGCTTCTGAACATGTCTTCTCAGATTAGGCTCTAACACACAGTTGCAAGTGGAAGAAAGAGATGCTTGACACCATCACAGGAGCAGGCAGCTTCCTGCAGAGATGACAGCCAACCCACACTCACTTCACTGTGGGCAGACACATGTTTGCAGAGAGACTCAAAGCCAAACAGGCACACTCAATGCGCTTTGCCCAAATTTACCCATTAGGCAAATCTTCCCTCCTCTCCAGAGAAAAGTAGAGAAAGCATGAGTCCTCACATGAAAACTTGAAGCAAGGGAAATGAAGGCTCACCAATTATGTGTGCATGGGTTTAAGTTATCCTTGAAATTAAGTTTAGATCTGTCTTTGTATGTACGAATTAATGACAAGAAGTTAGATAGAAGTATGCTAGATGGCAAAGAGAAATCTGTTTTGTGGTTCCAATTTTGCTATAAATAACCCAGAACATGGATAATTCATTTATTAATTGACTTTTGAAAGCCAAGTCCTATTTGGAGAAAATTAATAGTTTTTCTAAGAAAGAATTTTCTCAATATCACCTGGCTTGGTAAAGTTTTTCTCCTTTGAGTTCCTGTTTTTTGGAGTGTAGCAATCTTATTCTTTACAAATTGATTATGTTGACTGCCACTCACAGATGTTATGATATTAATTTCTATTTCTTACTTTGTATTCATGATTTAAGAATCACAATTTAGCTGGAGAGCTACTTTTTAATGTGTGGCACCTAAACATGATTGAGCTATGAGACAGTTTTACATATATGCATGCATTTTCTCTGAGTTATATTTTAAAATCTGCACATTTCTCCTAAATATGGAGGAGATCACTGGCATCAAATGCCAGTCTCAGACAGAAGCACTAAAGCCCATTTCTGGCCTGGAGCTAATTGGCTTTGTGACCTACGGTGAGCCATACATGCTCTGAGTTTGTGCTACCTCTTTTGTAAAATGAGGGAGTTTGACTTATCAGTGACTTTCATAGCTTAAAATTTTTTTGAAGAACAGAACTTGTTTTAAGAAAGTTAGATGCAACACTATTATATAAAACAGAACAGATACAAGTAGAGCTAATTTGCTAAAGAAAGGAAGGAGTCTCTGAAGTTGGGACTTTCTTATCCCTTAATACTGCTATGTCCTCTGTAGTACCTCAGATTTCTATGAGACAAAGTTAGAAAACTATTGTTTATGAGTGAGCCTTGCTAATACCCTAAAAATTGTGAATACATTTTTCTCCCATGTATAATTTTCTCACCTTCTATTTGAAAAGAAAAAAAGTGTTGTGTCGGTCTGCACCTAGTAGGGAATGTCTCCCAGTTAGACTACTCAAGGGTCAGGGACCCACTTGAGCAGGCAGTCTGCCCATTCTCAGATCTCAACCTCCGTACTGGGAGATCCATTGCTCTCTTCAAAGCTGTCAGACAGGGGCATTTACCTCTGCCAAGGTTTCTGCTGCTTTTTGTTTAGCTATACCCTTTCCCCGGAGGAGGAGTCTACAGAGGCAGGCAGGCCGGCCTCCTTGAGCTGTGGTGGGCTCCACCCAATTCCAGCTTCCCGGCAGCCTTGTTTACCTACTTAAGCCTCAGCAATGGTGGGTGCCCCTCCCCCAGCCTCCCTGCCAGCTTGCAGTTAGAACTCAGACTGCTGTGCTAGCAATGAGGGAGGCTCCATGGCAGTGGGACCCTCTGGGCCAGGTGTAGGATATAATCTCCTGTTGTGCCATTTGCTAAGACCCTTGGTAAAGGGCAGTATTGGGGTGGGAGTTACCCGATTTTCCAGGTTTTGTGTGTCTCAATTTCCTTTGGCTAGGAAAAGAAATTCCCTTTCCACTTGCACTTTCCAGGTGAGGCAATGCCTCACCCTGCTTCAGCTCTCACTGGTCGGGCTGCACCCGTACCAGCGTCAACTGTCCGACACGCCCCAGTGAGATGAACCCAGTACCTCAGTTGAAAATGCCGAAATCACCCATTTTCTGTGTCGCCCACGCTGGGAGCTGGAGGATGGAGCTGTTCCTATTTGGCCGTCTTGGGTGTGCCCTGAGACAAAGTTTCCAGAGCAAATCAGACAGCAACACTTGCTGTTCAGCAATATTCTATCTTCTGCTGCCTCCGCTGCTGATACCCAGGCAAACAGGGTCTGGAGTGGACCTCAAGCAAACTCCAACAGACCTACAGCTGAGGGTCCTTACTCTTAGAAGGAAAACTAACAAACAGAAAGGACACCCACACCAAAACCCCATCAGTACATCACCAACATCAAAGACCAAAGGCTGATAAAACCATGAAGATGGGGAAAAAGCAGTGCAGAAAAGCTGGAAATTCAAAAGATCAGAGTGCATCTCTCCTTCCGAAGGAACGCAGCTCATCGCCAGCAATGGAACAAAGCTGGATGGAGAATGACTTTGACGAGTTCAGAGAAGAAGGTTTCAGTCGATCAAACTTCTCAGAGCTAAAGGAGGAACTACATAACTGGTGCAAAGAAACTAAAAACCTTGAAAAAAGAATGGATGAATGGATAGCTAGAATAATCAAGGCAGAGAAGCCCTTAAAAGAACTGATAGAGATGAAAACTATAACACGAAAACTACGTGACAAATGCACAAACTTCAGTAACCGACTCAATCAACTGGAAGAAAGAGTATCAGCGATTGAAGATCAAATGAATGAAATGAAATGAGAAGAGATGTGTAGATAAAAAAGAGAAAAAGAAATGAACAAAGCCTCCAAGTAATATGAGATTATGTGAAAAGACCAAATCTACGTCTGATTGGTGTGCCTGAAAGTGATGGGGAAAATGGAATCAAATTGGAAAACACTCTTCAGGATATCATCCAGGAGAACTTCCCCAACCTAGTAAGGCAGGCCAATGTTCAAATCCAGGAAATACAGAGAATGCCACAAAGATACTCCTCGAGAAGCAACTCCAAGACACATAATTGTCAGATTCACCAAAGTTGAAATGAAGGAAAAAATGTTAAGGGCAGCCAGAGAGAAAGGTCGGGTTACCCACAAAGGGAAGCCCATCAGACTAACAGCAGATCTCTCAGCAGAAACTCTCCAAGCCAGAAGAGAGTGGGGGCCAATATTCAACATTCTTAAAGAAAAGAATTTTAAACCCAGAATTTCATATCCAGCCAAACTAAGTTTCATAAGTGAAGGAGAAATAAAATCCTTTACAGATAAGAAAATGCTTAGAGATTTTGTCACCACCAGGCCTGCCTTACAAGAGACCCTGAAGGAAGCACTAAACATGGAAAGGAACAACCAGTACCAGCCACTGTAAAAAATGCCAAAATGTAAAGACCATTGATGCTAGGAAGAAACTGCATTAACTAATGAGCAAAATTACCAGTTAATATCATAATGACAGGATCAAGTTCATACATAACAATATTAGCTGTAATGTAAATGGACTAAATGGTCCAATTAAAAGACACAGATTGAAAAACTGGATAAAGAGTCAAGACCCATCAGTGCGCTGTGTTCAGGAGACCTATCTCACATGCAGAGACACACGTAGGCTCAAAATAAAGGGATGGAAGAAGATCTACCAAGGAAATGGAGAACAAAAAAAAGCAGGGGTTGCAATCCTAGTCTCTGATAAAACAGACTTTAAACCATCAAAGATCAAAAGAGACAAAGAAGGCCATTACATAATGGTAAAGGGATCAGTTCAACAGAAAGAGCTAACTATCCTAAATATATATGCACCCAATACAGGAGCACCCAGATTCATAAAGCAAGTCCTTAGAGACTTACAAAGAGACTTAGACTCCCACACAATAATAATGGGAGACTTCAACACCCCACTGTCAACATTAGACAGAGCAATGAGACAGAAAGTTAACAAAGATATCCAGGAATTGAACTCATCTTTGCACCAAATGAACCTAATAGACATCTACAGAACTCTCCACCCCAAATCAACAGAATATACATTCTTCTCAGCAACACATCACACTTATTCTAAAATTGACCACATAATTGGAAGTAAAGCACTCCTCAGCAAATGGACAAGAACAGAAATTATAACAAACTGTCTCTCAGACCACAGGGCAATCAAACTACAACTCAGGACTAAGAAACTCAATCAAAACCACTCAACTACATGGAAACTGAACAACCTACTCCTGAATGACTACTGGGTACATAACTAAATGAAGGCAGAAATAAAGATTGGTTCTTTGAAACCAATGAGAACAAAGATACAACATACCAGAATCTCTGGGACACATTTAAAACAGTGTGTAGAGGGAAATTTATAGCACTAAATGCCCACAAGAGAAAGCTGGAAAGATCTAAAATTGACACCCTAACATCACAAATAAAAGAACTAGAGAAGCAAGGGCAAACGCATTCAAAAGCTAGCAGAAGGCAAGAAATAACTAAGATCAGAGCAGAACTGAAGGAGATAGAGACACAAAAAACCCTCCAAAAAATCAATGAACCCAGGAGTTGGTTTTTTGAAAACATCAACAAAATTGATAGACCACTAGCAAGACTAATAAAGAAGAAAAGAGAGAAGAATCAAATAGATGCAATAAAAAATGATAAAGGGGATATCAACACCGACCCCACAGAAATACAAACTACCATCAGAGAATACTATAAACACCTCTATGCAAATAAACTAGAAAATCTAGAAGAAATGGATAATTTCCTGGACACTTACACTCTCCCAAGACTAAACCTGGAAGAAGTTGAATCCCTGAATGGTCCAATAGCAGGTTCTGAAATTGAGGCAATAATTAACAGCTTACCAACCAAAAATAGTCCAGGACCAGATGAATTCACAGCCAAATTCTACCAGAGGTACAAGGAGGAGCTGGTACCATTCCTTCTGAAACTATTCCAATCAATAGAAAAAGAGGGAATCCTCCCTAGCTCATTTTATGAGGCCAACATCACCATGATACCAAAACTTGGCAGAGACACCCACAAAAAAGAGAATTTTAGACCAATATCCCTGATGAACATCAATGCAAAAATCCTCAATAAAATACTGGCAAATTGAATCCAGCAGCACATCAAAAAGATTATCCACCATGATCAAGTGGGCTTCATCCCTGGGACGCAAGGCTGATTCAACATACGCAAATCAATAAATGTAATCCAGCATATAAACAGAACCAAAGACAAAAACCACATGATTATCTCAATAGATGCAGAAAAGGTCTTTGACAAAATTCAACAGCCCTTCATGCTAAAAACTCTCAATAAATTCAGTATTTATGGAACGTATCTCAAAATAATAAGAGCTATTTATGACAAACCCACAGCCAATATCATACTGAATGGGCAAAAACTGGAAGCATTCCCTTTGAAAACTGGCATAAGACAGGGATGCCCTCTCTCTCCACTCCTATTCAACATAGTGTTGGAAGTTCTGGCTAGGGCAATCAGGCAAGAGAAAGAAATCAAGGGTATTCAGTTAGGAAAAGAAGAAGTCAAATTATCCCTGTTTGCAGACGACATTATTGTATATTTAGAAAACCCCATTATCTCAGCCCAAAATCCCCTTAAGCTGATAAGCAACTTCAGCAAAGTCTCAGGATACAAAATCAATGTGCAAAAATCACAAGCATTCTTACACACCAGTAACAAACAGAGAGCCAAATCATGAATGAACTTCCATTCACAATTGCTTCAAAGAGAATAAAATACCTAGGAATTCAACTTACAAGGGACGTAAAGGACTTCTTCAAGGAGAACTACAAACCACTGCTCAGTGAAATAAAAGGGGACACAAACAAATGGAAGAACATACCATGCTCATGGATAGGAAGAATCAATATCGTGAAAATAACCATACTGCCCAAGGTAATTTATAGATTCAATGCCATCCCCATCAAACTACCAATGAGTTTCTTCACAGAATTGGAAAAAACTGCTTTAAAGTTCATATGGAACCAAAAAAGAGCCTGCATCTCCAAGACAATCCTAAGTCAAAAGAACAAAGGCTGGAGACATCACGCTACCTGGCTTCAAACTATACTACAAGGCTCCAGTAACCAAAACAGCATGGTACTGGTACCAAAACAGAGATATAGACCAATGGAACAGCACAGAGTCCTCAGAAATAATACCACACATCTACAGCCATCTGATCTTGACAAACTTGACAAAAACAAGAAATGGGGAAAAGATTCCCTCTTTAATAAATGGTGCTGGGAAAATTGGCTAGCCATAAGTAGAAAGCTGAAACTGGATCCTTTTCTTACTCCTTATACAAAAATTAATTCAAGATGTATTAGAGACTTAAATGTTAGACCTAATACCATAAAAACCCTAGAAGAAAACCTAGGTAATACCATTCAGGACATAGGCATGGGCAAGGACTTCATGTGTAAAACACCAAAAGCAATGGCAGCAAAAGCCAAAATTGACAAATGGGATCTAATGAAACTAAAGAGCTTCTGCACAGCAAAAGAAACTACCATCAGAGTGAACAGGCAACCTACAGAATGAGAGAAAATTTTTGCAATCTCCTCATCTGACAAAGGGCTAATATCTAGAACCCACAAAGAAATTACAACTATGCAGCTATGTAATATTTTCCTTCTTCTAATTCTAGAAAGTTACGAATCTAACTTTTAAAACTAGTTCTAACCTATATTTATTCTTTTTTGAAACAAATTTTCTGAAATCTTTGTGTTCACATAAAGAAATATCAATCATAATGTAGATCACATGATATTTTTCCTTATTCTCTTGCCAGTCCAATTTTCTCATGGCATAAAGTGAGTACCACTTTCTTTGTGTGTGTATTTAAGGTTCTGTGCTGAAAAGTTGATAACATAGAACATACATTAAAATGTAAATTTTCTGAAGGGTGAGAATGGAAAGTTACTCTAAGGAAAAATCCATTGAAGTGAAAAAACTGATTGAACTTTTATAAAGGACAGAGTTTAAGAATTAGAAATAAATGCATTCATTGCAAAATATGACGTAAATTCTCTAACCTTTGTAGCACTAAGACAAAAAATCATAGACCAAAGTTATTTGTAATTTTTTTCTAAGATTAACTAAATGGCACTACACATATATAGTCTCTATTATCTAAACCTAAAATAACTCAGTATTTTATGTTATTTAGTGATTGTGTTTTTCTATTTAAGCAATTCTCATGTTAGGTACAGTCTCTAAAAGTATTAAAGGGCACAATTCTGTGAGTGATACATCATTTTCAGGATAATTTCTCTTCTTAAAATTAAACATTATAAATAATATTTGACTTATTTTAAATGCAGCAGGAGTGGTAGAAAATACCACTAGAGCACAAAAAGGTACATTGCAAAATTTATGAATTCAATTCAGATTTATTAATAGGTTTCCAAAATAAACTGTAAATAGGAAATGACTAGAGTTTGGTTAATTGATAAGTACATCAGTTGGCTATTGTTTGTTTAATAGATAGTATGTCAATTATTTTTGTACACACATTTAATGAAAGATATAAACACATACTCATAATGAAGGGTATATTTATGCCTCATTAATTTGACATGTTCCATATCTTTAGAAAAATCTCAAGTAGTCTGCATATCTGTTTTTGGCTCTAAGTCTCTTCTGCCATCCCTATGGAACTTTTAGCCTACACACTGCAGTTGTTTTCAGAAAATAAAGGCATCATTAACTTCTCAGGGTTATGGTAGTGACTTAAGGCAAACAGACCCAAGACTCATCTTGTAATACCTAACCAAGCAGTTATAGTTCATAAGCAATCATGTAACTGGTGACATTTTAAATCTCCAGTCTTTGACTTTGTCATTGGTTGACTTTTGTCTTCAGGAAATGTTCTACATTTCTTGGAATACAGTAAAAATGCCTAAGTCAGTTTGGTTGTTGTCAAGTTATTCAGCTTTTTCTCACCTCTTACTAGTACTCCGCCTCTTTGCTCTAGCATCCAGCCAGACTACATAGAATTTCACAGTGATCTTCCTCAGCTCCAGCTCTTGGCATTTGCTCCTCCCCTCTATCTGACATATGTTTTTGTTGTCCTTCTGGTATCAACTTGCATATCTCCTCCAAAAAGTTTACAATATTGACCCAAAACTGGAATGTCCCATCTGTGTGTTCCAGTAGAGCCCTGTTTTAAATCTGTCATGATATCTATTAACCTGTATGAAATAACTGCCTGTTTGTTTTTCAGATTATATAATACTATAACATTGCCAAGGAGTGGATTATCTCATCTTCATCCTGTAATTCCAGTGTTTGTCACACGGTTGTTGAATAAATGAATAAAGAATGAGAATGCCAGAAGCTCTGATACATAACCGTAATGATAATTATTTCAATGCACAACTATGGGTGAGTTGTATTTAACAACACTTTTGTATCATAGTCATATATACATTTTTTTTTTATTGTCGCTAACACAGAGCAGGCTCTCAACTCTTTTTTCCTGAATTCCACTTAGTTTACCATAAAATCTTTTAGGTAAAGAGCATAAATATTTTTCTTTCCAGGTGCTGCTGAACTAGAATTTGTATTTTCTGCAACTGGCTCCTCTAGGATCTACTAATGATTTACATCTAAAAGATGAAGTTAGTAAAGCATCAGAAAAAAAAGGTACTAACTTTTATTTAAAAATTATATAATACAAAAAATTATAATATTTTATTACTGGAATGCTTACTGGAAAATTTAATGATTTTCCATTTAATATAAAACATACAAAAATTTTTCTCAAAAAGGATAATTTTTTATATCCTATGTGTCTGATGAAAATGTATATGGCATTTTAAATCATGTTTCTAAGCTTCTTTAACAAACTTTTTAGTTGATCTTACAAATAAAAACCTGTATTATTGAGTTTTACATACTCCAGTGATTCAATAGGCAGCTGTTTAAACAAGAAAAACTACCAAATTGTCATTAGTGCTTTGTATCTTGTAATTTTTATTACAATTACAGTGATAGATTTAAATTTCAACAGACATCGTTTTAGCGTGTTAGTACTGTGGTCATTGTCAATGGTTGCATGTAATACAACTGACACCATACCATCAAATTTATGTAATTTTAAGTACTGATTTATATAGATCTTTCCTCATGAAAAAATAAGGTTTTCCTAAGACTTTTCACCTTTTATGTTATTTACTTATTTATTTTTTGGTTAACGTTTGGAAACAGTCTTAAAATTAAAGTTTCAAGGTTTACTACAAAGAACTATCATTCTCTGAACCATTTGAGAGTAAATTGCTGACACTCTACCGTGATTTCTGATTTCCTTAGTGGGTATTCCTACAAGTCAGAACATTCTACGTGACTACAATATAATCTTCACAGAAATTTAACATTAATACATTTTGAGATTCTCAGATTTTTTGTAAGTTTTGTTACTTTCTATAATATTCCTTGTTGCAAAAGATTCCATTCAGATCCATTGATTATATTTAGTTTCTGTACCAGTCAGACTTTCAATCGGAGCAGTTTCTCAGTCTTTCTTTGATATTTATAACCTTGAATCTTTAGAAGATAAAGTTCAGTAATCCAGAATGTTCTTCAATTGAGTTTTTGTAATGTTTCCTTGTAATTAGTTTTATATCATACTTTTTGAACATGGCTATCACAGAAATGCTCCTGTGATCTTATTGCACCCTATCATTTGGCCACAATTTTGATTTGTCCTGTTACTGGTGATGTTAGATTTTATTACTAATGGTGGTATCTGCTGAATATCTCCTCTGTCATGTTATTTTTTCACCTTTTAATGAATTAGTATTTTGTAGGGAGTTCATCTGAGACTATGTAAATATCTGTTTCTCATCAAACCTTCAAGTTAATCATTTACTTGTATAAGTATGGATTCATAGTTCATTCTATTTAATAGGTTATAACTTGATAATATTTGTCAAAGCTTTTTCTTTTTTTTTTTTTTTTTTTAATTTATTTATTATTATATATTGTAGGTATGTGCATAACGTGCAGTTTTGTTACATATGTATACTTGTGCCATGTTGCTGTGCTGCACCCATCAACTCGTCATTTACATCAGGTATAACTCCCAATGCAATCCCTCCCCCCTCCCCCCTCCCCATGATAGGCCCCGGTGTGTGATGTTCCCCTTCCTGAGTCCGAGTGATCTCATTGTTCAGTTCCCACCTATGAGTGAGAACATGCGGTGTTTGGTTTTCTGTTCTTGTGATAGTTTGCTAAGAATAATGGATTCCAGCTGCATCCAAGTCCCTACAAAGGACTCAAACTCATCCTTTTTTATGGCTGCATAGTATTCCATGGTGTATATGTGCCACATTTTCTTAATCCAATCTGTCACTGATGGACATTTGGGTTGATTCCAAGTCTTTGCTATTGTGAATAGTGCTGCAATAAACATACGTGTGCATGTGTCTTTATAGCAGCATAATTTATAATCCTTTGGGTATATACCCAGTAATGGGATGGCTGGGTCATATGGTACATCTAGTTCTAGATCCTTGAGGAATCGCCATACTGTTTTCCATAATGGTTGAACTAGCTTACAATCCCACCAACAGTGTAAAAGTGTTCCTATTTCTCCACATCCTCTCCAGCACCTGTTGTTTCCTGACTTTTTAATGATTGCCATTCTAACTGGTGTGAGATGGTATCTCATTGTGGTTTTGATTTGCATTTCTCTGATGGCCAGTGATGATGAGCATTTTTTCATGTGTCTGTTGGCTGTATGAATGTCTTCTTTTGAGAAATGTCTGTTCATGTCCTTTGCCCACTTTTTGATGGGGTTGTTTGTTTTTTTCTTGTAAATTTGTTTGAGTTCTTTGTATAGACCAATGGAACAGAACAGAGTCCTCAGAAATAATACCACACATCTACAGCCATTTGATCTTTGACAAACCTGAGAGAAACAAGAAATGGGGAAAGGATTCCCTATTTAATAAATGGTGCTGGGAAAATTGGCTAGCCATAAGTAGAAAGCTGAAACTGGATCTTTCCTTTTTCTTATTGGAGAAAATGTTCCATACTTTGTTCCATATAAAAAAGAAAAAAAAAAAAAAAAAAAAAAAAAGATTCATGACTTTACCAAAGACATCATTGGGAAGGCCACTTCTGGCAAACCAGATCCAATACAAAAAAAAGTTGGGTTATCTTTTCATATGTTTCTCATTGGCTTGAATCATAGTGGTACTTCATATGTCTCGAGGTTCATGGTATTGCAAAAAAAAAAAAATGATAGAAAACATACAAGAACCATGAGAAATCACCTTTTACTGTATGACACATTTTCCTAGGTAAACGAATTGCTCCTGTGGAGATGATTATCATCACATGGTGTTTTGAGCTGATACTCCCAACACTTGAGCTCACTGCAATAGTACCAAGTGGGCATAAACTTACTGTAGTAGTGCAATACATACTAAAGTTAACTTTGTGCAGTTATAATTTAATGCTGCATTTTTACCTTTTTTACATTTCTCTTAGCTGAAGCTGGCATCATGTTCTTTGTATGCATACATTTTGATAAATTTTCACTTTTTATAATTGATTTTGTGTATTTCATGGTAGCAATGATAAAATAGACTAGTATCTGTATATATATTTTTTTGTTTGCTATTTTTAGGTTATTTGGTTCATCTACAGGTTTTTTCAAATTGCCATTAATACCACATTTGTAAATATTTCTTGAAAAATACCTGCTGACAAGAGCACCCATGCAGTTCACACCATGTCGTTCAAGAATCAATTGCTTTGTAACTCCCATCTCTGACAGTAACCTGGCTCCCTTCATGCTTAGTATATAGTAAGTCCTTACTTAACATGGTCAATAGGTCTTGGAAATGAGCTTAAGTGAAAGACGTGTAATAAAACCACTTTTACCATCAGCTAACTGATATAAATAAGAGTGATGTTCCTATGATATGTTTCTGGTCACAGAAACATCACTGGACTTCTAAGTAAAGACCCAAAACACTTGTAACAAACATTGAACATTGAAATCAATGTGAGCTTTACATATATTTTTTAAAGATTAATAAAAATAAGTAAGATATTGTTTACTCAATTTCTGGTGAATCACTGAGTGATAGCAGTTGGTAGGTTACATCAAGGAATCAATGTCAGCAGATTGCAGATTGTAAGGAGTACCACTTACCATTATGCAGTTCAAAAACAGCCACAAGTATGTCATCCTCATAGAGAGCTTTTGTATGACATCATTGTCAACCACAGCATTTGCCTGAGTATCATAGTTCTCACAGACCTTTATTTTATGGTAATATGCATTCGTTCACTTGATCCTTTTCCAACTTGCTTATTCCAGTTCAGGTTTGCAGATGGCAGGAGCCTCTCCTGGCAGTTTTGGGTGCCAGGATGGAAACCTATTACTATAGAGCTTCTTTGTCAATGCTGGTCAATGATCTAACCTAAATTATAAGTATTTGAAAAGGATTAATTGTCCTACATTAAACTTGTAAGCAATGTTATGTACATCGTGACATTGCAGGGCCACTAACACACACAACCAGTTAGTCAGACTGGCACCATGCAGACACATCTGTTAATCTCATGTACAGAGCTTTGGGATGTAGGACAAAAACAGTCCCTAAAGAAACCACATAGAGACATAACGAGAACATTTAAACTCCACACGGAAAGGGGCCTCAGATGAGATTTTCTTTCATCAATGTTATAATGAAATGACATTATTCAAGGACCTGCTGTACTCACTTATTTGTTCAATACCCTTCTGTGTGACCAGTCTCTTGTGTCCCTGCCTTTAGGCGAGTACACTTCTCACTCCCTCTGGGACTCCAGGATCCTTCATCAGGTTGCCTCTGCTGCTTTCCCTGTGTCTTCACTCCATTCTTTCTCGGACATTTTGTGCCAAGCTGCCCTTTTAGGCAGAAAATTTTTCCTGCTCAGGCGCTGAAAACCCATGCTAGACTGTCCTTCTCCATCCCTGCGTGGATGCCTCCTGACTATTCAGTTTTTGATATTTTATTCTATTTCACCCTCCATTCAGGGGTGCTCTCACTTGATTCTTAACAATGTACAGGGTGGTGCTCCCACACTTAGGTCTTTCTCATTGTCTCCAGGCCCCAACTCCTTACTCTGGACAACCACAACTTTCTGTTTTATCTCCATGCTCATGAATTAAAATGCTCAGAAAAAGAAGAGAGGAAAAATGCCATATACATTTTATAATCAGCACACAAAGCTCTGCAGAACAAGGATTTTGATTGGAATTGCATTGAGTTAATAATTTGGGAAGAAAAGAGATAATATTTTAATTGCCTTATTAACTTATTAATTAAAAAAATTTCACATAGAGGCCTTGCCTATTTTAATATCTATTCTCAATTATTTGGTATAGTTGATCCTATCACATATTTTATTTTTATATATATTTTTCTTCTTGTTACTTGCTTATAGAAACAAAATTGATATTTTGTGTATTGAACTTGATTAGTTAAGCTGTCTTGCTAAACTCCTTGTTATTTTATTATCTGCATATTGATCTGCACAATATTTAGGATTTTCTATATACACATATCATCTGTAAATAGTAACAGTCTTCTTTCCAATTCAAGAGTTTTTATTTCTTTTTCTACTGCAAGAATAATGTTGAATAA